AGACAAAGAATTTTATTCACTCAGTCTTGTGTTTAACCCTTTAAAGACTGAACCATGAAATAATTGCTGGAAATTTTTAATTTTCATATTTTAGTTTTTCATTTATTTGGATTGTTTATTTAACCTTCTGACATTTTTTTTGTAATCACGCTAATGATGTAGGAATCTCAGAAACTCATGTATGAAGTATGATACACTAGGCATTAAGTGGTTCTTTAGGTCAATACCGGTCCGTGAGTTGTTTGGTACCGGGACGTGAGAGTTGAGGCTCGGGTGTGAAATTTATGGTTTTCAGGGTTTTTATTGTTAACTCAGTTTCTCTGGGTCTTTTCCTGTGTGTTATGAATACATTTTCTATACATTTTCATGTACTTTATATTTGTTTTGTAGTTGTGTGTCTTATTTTGAAAGAAATATTTACACGTTACCATAGTGACCAGAGAGCATTAAGATGCAGAGAGGAGGATGCTACTCTCAGTGTTGTTGGAGGACGCTGCTAGTAAAGTTACACAATTACACAGTAAATTCGTGTTTATGATATTTACAAAATACCACAGTTTTTGTCTTGGTCGTATCGTTTTATTTTGTTGTATTATCTGCAACACCTTAAAGGCCGGTCTGTGAAAATAATGTCTGACATTAAACCAGTCCGTGGCGCAAAAAAGGTTGGAGACCGCTGCTCTAAGTGTGAGCAACGGGCAGAACGATTACATTCTCTTCCACTAGAGGGCAGTACTACTACCTGCTCTAATAAAATGGGTTGCCAACTGCCAGTAAAACAGAAGAAGACAAAGTGGAAATTACATAATAGTCATGCTGTGAGTCAATACAATGCAAAAATAGCAATAGATAAATATTAGAAAAGAAAAAGTAGTCAATCTGACCTGGGTCCTGGAGAAAATTCAGGCTGAGATGAAGGCCCTAGCAAGAGTAGTGGTCAGAAGCAAAAAAGGTATACTGGGGACAAACCGAGACAATTCCACTATGCCTGGTGTGGGGGAAAAATTATCAATATGCTTTTCGTGAGATTTTTGTTGGTGCCGTGCCGTGTGATTTTTCTAATGTGAAATATGTGCTATGGCTTCAAAAGGTTGGGAAACACTGTCGTAGAGGATGTTCTGATTGTTCTCTCTAAAATTGTGTGGTCTTTGTGAAGTGGCCCTATAGAAATATGAGTATGAAAATATAAAACTGAATTGAACTGGGTTATTAATTAAGGTTAAAAGTGTTGCATGTGCTTTGTAACTGTGTATTACTCCATATATTGCCACTGAAAGAGCTGGCAAGTCTTTGATTGGCCGTGTGACCGTGCATATATGCTATGCTCTCGAGACAATTAATGATTCTCAGAGCGGCTTTACTGCCACATTACGCAGTAGCCTTCTTTACCTCGTGTAATTCATTCTCACTGATCTGTGCTACATAATCCAGCGTGAGACGCTGTAGTTTAGTAGAGCTTCAATACAGCACACATAACATGCTCAGCCAATTGTGCAGTGTGACTTTAGAGTGTGACTTTTAAAGTGATGTCTACAGAAAGCTGCAGATCTCACTTTAAGCAACTGCATATTCCAAGTCTGTGTTTGAGTCTAGTTTTGTGACAGTAACGCATAATAGGTTACCTAAAATAAATAACAATAATCTAGCAAAGTGAGGAAACAATGGCAAATCTGAGAGATTTAAAGAGAGAGCAGTGTGTAGGTCTGGTCTCCTAATGAGAATCTCACATCCTTTTTTTTCATGTCTCACCCTCTTGTTTTACATCTAAACAAGTGTTACTTCAGAAGAAAAGATAAAGAGCTTTTTTTCATGTTACTGACTGAGTACAGGCCCTCTGTTAAACTCAACAAAATTATAACACACATCTAATTGAACAGTTAGTAAGTCTTGCAGCCAGTTAGAAAACAAGCCCCACAATGAGATTAAAACAATGGAAAACAATGATTTTAAAAATTAATTTCTGTTCTACAGTACTGTGCACCAATTTTGTTACACTAATATATCCACACATGCATATGTAAAACGTATCACAACTTAGCTCTAACACTGGTTGTTTGCTGTTAGCTCTAAAACTTTGCATATTTCAGTCAGGTGTGCAGTGTATTCACTGAGGCCAAATCAGAAATACTTTCAAGAAGCCATTCTTAAAGAAGAGAAATGATGACACGCCAAATTACACAAGAATTGGACTCAAAAGCAGTGACAATGGGTCTTTTAAGTCTACAGCTATCTGTAAAACACGTTGGACCCCCTATCCGGTCGTTAAGTGATGACGTGACGAATCCTACTTCCAGGCCTAAAGTAGTCTGCGTTTAATATGGCTTTTGTGTTGTTAACATGTTTAAGCTCCTAAAACAGTCAGTGATCCCTGTTGACCTCCCTCGGCTTTTATTACCGCTAATCATTTATTTAAGCTCAGTTTTTAAAACCTTAGGATGTAACTACAGCCCAGCCCATGCAGCAGTATATGAATGACTAACCTCATATTGTGGATGGATTATCTCAGTTGTTCTCCTGACTGAAGTTTGGTCCTTTTACAGCATCCTGCCATGCGATTACATTTGTTCCTGACCACCGAGAACACTCACGTTAACTTTTATCGAGTGGAAAAAAAGTTAGCTTGTTTATATTATGCTAACATAGCTGTGTCGCTAGCGGTCACGTAGCACATCATTATATACCAGCTAGCCAAACTTCAGTAACCCTACAAACATCACTGCTGTTTAGTTTTCTGTCTTCATTTATGTTGGAAGTGATAACAGAGCTGTGCGTTTTAATTTGTTTCCAAAACCCCGCAGTCAGGACATGCTATATTGTATTTAGATAGAAGCTAGCGAGCTAACTCTGTTTTTGCCTTACATACTATACTATTTGCATTTATGTTTGCATGTCTAAATAAAACACAGCGTAAAACCTTTGCACAGCACTGTGCATCCCCAGCAAACTTTAAAAAAACAAACAAAGCATATTTCCAGACATAAGACAAAGTTCGATAATTAAATATCTGCCTGCCTTGTTTGTAGTTACACTTCTTGCATGAATATACGTCCTCCTGCCTTCTATGTAAATAAAATGGTTAATATGCAATCCTGCCATCCCCTCCTTATTCTAATATGACTCCATGACTTTAAATGCATTCATGAGCTGTTTAGGAGGCAGCTGTTCTTGATTTGACCTGCTATCTCCTTCTGTGCTTCACCTTTGAGCTTCTCTACATTGGTGCTGGCTGGTAGCTAAATAACTGTCAGCTTTCACTGTTGTCTTGAGCTGCTTCACAGTCCATCAGATTTTTCAGCACCAGCTGCTTAATTGAAGGTCAGTGCCTTCGGAATGTCGGGGCACTTTAGTCTCAATTAGGTTGTTTCCACAGTTCTGCAAATACAAGTGTGCCAGGAACAATAAAGAGGAAGGCGGACAGATTCGGAAATAGAAAAAACTCAGAAAGCAGTAATTTCATGGCAGTTAATAGTGTTTGAGCATAGATAGCCATGGTCTTGATGCATTCTCAATCATCCAGGAAAGTAAATCTCCAAAAAGTTGATTCTCTTCATCTGGACGTAGCGTTTTGTGGGAGAAATCCTTCATCACTCATCCAAATGACTTCTTCAGTCTCAGCTGACTGCAGGTTTCCCCAATCTTATAAACAGTACATTTGCATAATGACTGAAACCAGCCCACTGAAGGAACAATGGGCTGGGAGGTCAGTTCCTTAACCTCCTAAGACCCGAACTCTTCCACGGCATGCATTTTTAATTTCTCTTTGATATTAGGGCTGATTGGGACCTGATGAATGTAAAAACGAAGAATTACTAATTTATTTATTTTTTACCTAATTTTTGTTTCTGAGAAAAATGAGAGCCACTTATGAGGATATTCGTTTAAAATTTCGATAGAACAGTAGCAGTATAATGTCCTCGTAAGTGGATATCAGGCCCTTGTAGAGCAAAATTGAGTATTTTGGTCTAAATAACCCAAAATGTATGGAAGC